GCCCTTAATGCACCTTAAAAATGGCAATTTTAGGCTATTCACGCCTAAATTTAATACCAGCAAATGCAGGTATCAAATGTATGTGGGAATAGTGAAAGCACCTTAAATCACATGTAGACACACTAAGGCGCATTCATGTTGTGTAGGTCGACGGACTTAGGACTAACTTTAGTCCCAAATCAATCCTCACACCACATTAATGTACCTTAGCGCATGCATGTGTAGCCTAAATCACTTTAATTCACATTAGGCAAATGTGCATTAAGTTGAAGCACATGTAAAAGCATGTGTAGACATGCCCGCAGAAGAGTAAACTGTGCTGGAAAACAGTTTTGATGATTGTCTTATTAATAAGTGTTGGGTAATTACAAAGCAGAGAGAACACGGCATTTATTACAGCTGCTCCGTCATTAAAAAAAAAAAATCTAAACAATTTATAAAGTTGTAAAATATGGGCACGGTCACCAAGTTGCTTATATTAAAATTAGAGAGATGAGCTAATTGATAAAATTTTCGTGTGCTTTATAGTTTAAAACATTGTCTAAGGGGTATATTCTTTCTGCCAAACTCTTATTAGCATTCGTGGAGTGCTATGCTTCTGTGCGGAAGAAGAAAAAAAAAAAAAGGTGGCATTTCAGTTTGGTTGGCGTTTTCTCCTAGTTCTGGTGCTGTGTCTCGGTAGGTCGTAGAAAGTTGGGGGTCATGCTGGTTAGGGGAGAAAAGGGTCTCTTGTTGGACTCTGTGCCTAAAGAAACTGATATGCGAGCTGATCTCTCCATGGCAACAAATGGGAATGCTAGAGCCTTAAAGGCTGTAAGAGCATATGGTTCCCAAGTTGAATGCCCTAAAATAACTGAAAGAGAAAAAATGATCAAGTGCCTTTTATTTTTTTTCCCTGACCCTATCTCCTTCCACTCATCCCTGCCCCCCTGCCACTTTTCTATAAATGTATGCACATTTTTTTCCCTTTTTTGTACGCGTGTGAAACACAGCACTTAGGAAACTCTGTCGTACCATCAACGTGCTTTGAAATTGCACAGGGGTTCAGAAAATGCCTATGCTTGTTTGTGTTTTGTTAGTATGAAATAATATAAATGCTTGCCCTCGCTCTCGAGTATCTCGCTAGCAGCTCAGTTGGCGTTATCTTATGTTCCAAGCTCTTGGGCTTCCCGCTGAAAGCAAGTGCTTCCCTGCTGCACTCTAATGCATGCCATACTTTAATGCAGAGATCAAACACTTTTGTACCATAGCACAAATAGCAGTTGACAAAGAAAGAGAGATTTCTTCTAAGCCACAATTAACTATATTGACTGCTCAGGCTGAGAGTTAATGGGGATCAGAGAACGCCCAGAAAATATAATCTAATTACAGCAATTAGCATTATAAATACATAAATTTAAAAAAAGGGAAAACAAAAATTCAATTTGGCAAATCACTGCTGTAAATAGGATCAGATTGACCAGCGTTGTATTTAATCAGAATCCAATTGACCTCTTCAGGAGATCCAGAGTAGTTGTAGCAGCATTTTCAGCTAGTCCTTCAGTGGGTTATGCCCAAATGTTTTCAGGCATATTTACTCCAAGTTGCAGTTCCTAGAATCACAGACAATGAGGGTGGGAGGGGATGTCAGGAGGTCACATATAGTCTAACCCCTGCCTTAAGCAGGACCAGCCCCAACTACATCATCATCAACTAGAGTTTTGCAAATCTCTAACAACCGCCTTTCACTGCGTCTTCAGCAGCCTTTAGTTTATTGTTCTGGCCAACAGTATTCATACAACTGTTAAGAAATGTCTGCCAGTGAAGACGGGTTGTGCTTTATTAGTTTGTCATCAACTGTTGCATGCCGGTTTGTACTCAAATAAATACAGCCAACAAGCTGCTACTATATGCCCACATCTAGCGAGGTGCGGTTCTTTCCTGGTATTTTCAAGTGTGTGCACACGCTTCTTTTTATAGAACTGAAAAAGCATTAGAAGTCCATTTAATCCTTTATAATACAGAGGTGTTTCACCAAAAAAAATTATATATTTTAGGGTAAATTCAATTTATTCAAAGCTCCAGGAAATGTTGGCATGTATTGCTCTTCACAGATAACTTCAGTAGTCACTGCTGCAAAGACAACTTTCACCAGATGTTACCACCCAAGGTAGCTCAGATGTCAGAAGAAAGAGCTCTCCGTCCTCTGTATCAGGAACCAGACTGGCTGCTGACATTAAGTCAGCACCAGTTATGATGGGGCCAAACCAGTTTACCCCAGGTGAAGTTCTCTCCCAACATCTGGAGCTCATACCATTATACCTAACGGTGACTGCTATTTTTGTAATGGCATCCAGCAGTTTTGTGCACCAGTGGGACAAGTTTCCCCACCTACCACTCCTCCAAAGTTTTTTAATCATAGAATGAGAATTTTATTCAGTCTCTTTGCCAGATTTTGTCCTTGAATTTACACAAGTTCAATCCCATGGAAATCAATGAAACAGCATAGATGTACTCAGGGACAGAAACGGGTCTCTACAGTCCTGCTCGAGTGCAATTCATGCCCATACATTGCTCAAGGCCTAAATCTCAAGTCTTACTTGAGGCTTTGATGAAGTTCTGCTTGGCATCAAACTCCTTTTCAACCAAATAGCCAATTTCACGTGTTTTCCGTCTTGCCGTCACCAAGAGTCACGCCAATAGGAAGTGTAACTCCGGTGATGCTAGGCTATGGTACACGCTATGCTAATGAGCATTCAGCATATATTTTAAACACAGACATATTTCTTGCCTTAAACTTTATCCACTCATGTCAGCTTCTTTTAAAGACTGTTAAAATGGTCATGCGTGGTCACACTTGGAGATAGGCTACAGATACAGGCAGGCTTGGACAGGCTAGCAAGTTGGGTGGATTGTAACCTGATGAAGTCATTTGACCCCAGTACTTTTTCCTGCCATGGCAGGGGGTCGGACTTGATGATCTGCTCAGGTCCCTTCCAACCCGACCAACTATGAAACTATGAAGTTCAATGTCGGGAAATGTAAAGTGCTCCACCTCAGGACAAGCAACCCCCAACTCACCGACAGGCTTGGCAGCACCAAGCTGGCTAGCACCACGAATGAAAGGGACCTGTGGGTAATAATAGACCACAATATGAATATGAGCTGGCAGTGCGATGCTGTATCCAGGGGGGCAAACAATACCCTGGCATGCATCAATCAATGCATCTCCAGCAAAGCCAAGGAAGTGATTCTTCCGCTCTTCTCAGCACTGGTGAGACCGCAGCTGGAGTACTGCATCCAGTCCTGGGTGCTGCACTTCAACAAGGACGTGGACAAGCTTGAGATAGTCCAAAGAAGAGCTACCCATATGATCAGAGTCTTGCATGGCAAGCCTTATGAGGAAAGGCTGAGGGATCTGGGACTCTTCAGCCTGAGGAAAAGAAGGCTGAGAGGGGACCTGGTAGCAGCTCACCACTACGCTAGGGGAGCACATCAAGGGCTTGGTGAGCAACTGTTCACCAGGACACCTGAGGGGAAAACCAGGAGTAATGGCCACAAACTCCTGGAAGATCAATTCAGGCTCAACATTACGAAAAACTTCTTCACAGTTAGTGTCCAGACCGTGGAATAAGCTCCTTCCAGAGCTGGTGCAGTCACCTACCCTGAAAATCTTCAAGAGAAGACTGGACGGTCACCTTGCTGGGGTCGCCTGACCCCAGTTGTCTTTCCTGCCTGGTGCAGAGGGCTGGACCCGATGATCTTCCGAGGTCCCTTCCAGCCCCTTACAATCTATGAAAATAACTTTAAAATCTCAGCTCTGGCATAGCTGCAAAAATCAGAAAAGCTTACAGCTAAGAGACCAACAAGCCCAACCCTATTGTCCTCTTGCGCCAGGGCAGCAGTTCACTACTTCACTGCATTACATGGACCTGCTTACTGCCCAGTGCTCCTGGGAAATAGCCATTTATCTGGCTAGTGAGTGGGAAAGGGAAGTGGAGATAAGGAGCCTCCCACATCACAATGCTTTTCATCCTACTCCCAACCAGGATTGCTTTCATCCCTGAAAAAAGTCAGGCATCTAGGCTTTGCGCTCCCCACCCCTTCCAGAGTCTGGATCTGGAAAGAACACAGTAAGAAAGGAGAAGGGGACCTCTTAACTCTTGTAAGAGTGGCCAAGCAAAGATAGTGACAATTGAGCCCTGGATTAAAGTAATAGTAGTAGTGGGTCGTGAATAACTGAGGTAATAAATTACTCGACACTCGAGTCACCCCGTTGTCTTTTAACTGAGTTCATTTTTCAACCTTCCACGGGTTGGGCAATTGCCATGCCGGTTCCTTTTCAGGCTGCTCAGTGAAAGACTCCGACTCAAAGTCAAAAGGCGAAATATTCAACTTCTATCTAACACCTCTCCGATTTCCGAAGAGTGCTCGACACTGCAAAAATGCTTCTTGCAAAGAATCCAGTGAATCTGAAGAGCACTCTTTCAAGTTAAACTGAATGCAGCCAGCTAATTATCTGGCTAGCAGTCAGAAATCTCAGGCTCAACATTTTAAATGAGAAAAAGAAACGGAGGTGTGATTTTTTTTCCCCTCCCTCTTTTTTACTTTCTTCTGGCCCTGAGGAAAATATAACGCATTTGCTTTCATTGACAAAAAAACCTGTTCTGTTCTAAGATTAAGTCCCCCAAAATTAAAACCCAAAGCACATCAGTGCTGCGAAGACCAGCTGCTTCATTCTGGAATTGCAGGATTTCCAGTAGAAAGCAAGAGACACCAATACGGTCTACTTGACCTTCCAGCTGGGTGGCCACTATAGGATCAGTGCAAATGTGATGAAATTTCACGCTCCTTTCTGCAATAAAGTAATGAGCTGTTTTGAACTGGCACCATCGCCAGTGCATAAAGGGATGATTTCAGTTAGTCAGGCTCTTGAGTACTCCACAGGCATCTACCAAAATGAATTATTCATTAGAGCTGCAATAAAAAACTGTCATGGGCATTTCACCCAGCGATCTTACCATCCCTTCTGTTGAGCTTTGCAAAGCTGGGGCTGTGAGCGCTCAGGAACTCTGAGGAGCTGTCAAAAGCTGTCGGAGGTAACGAAGATACTAACGCATCATCACAATTATCTAAAAAAACAAGAGAAACAAAAGAGAACATGAGAAAAAAAATCACGTAAGAAGCAGGAAGAACTTTGCTCTGTTGATTCTGTGCATTTTTTTTTTTTAACATGGAAAACAGCAGGATCTTTAATAACCTGATGCTCACTATTTAATAACCTGAATCCATGTTGTTAGCAGGACATCGACAAGGGGATTAGAAAAGTGTGAACAAGCAGCCACTTCAGTTAGACAAATATTAAAAGGCAGCAAATTGTCAAAGCTTTATTTCCCCTTATTGGTCTCTATTTCAAGGTCCAGTTAGAGCCAGAACTCAATGGAAGTGGCAGGTATTCAGCACCTATGAAACTATCAGGGCCAGTCCCCTACAGTGGGCAAAAGTAGGGCATTTTGAGATCAGGTTGCTTCCACGTCGACCTTGCTATGGGTGACAACTGGCTAGTAAGGAACACACTACTGCTGGTTGGTGATGGGCACAATACCCACGATAAACCCTGCCAACAGGCTCCCCAGCACTATCAATCCAGCGTGATGTATTGGATAGTGTGAAGGCAACTCCTTCGTGTTTTGCTCAGATATCAGACTGAATGCAAATACTTCTCAAAACAAGGCCTTTTTCTGTGGAAAGGCAACAAGAATACTCCCAACATAGCTCGTGAAATGCAGGAAGTCTCCTAGCAAGGCTACCAGGACACCATAGCATCCCTTCCAGTCTTTGGCCCAATACACAGAGGACAACACTAGGTTTCCCTTTTAGCAAGATGCATGTCCGAGATTTGTGCGTCTTCAGGAAGATTAAGTAACACAGCTCCTTACCTCCATGCAAGTCAGAAGACTAATACAGCACAATAATGGGACTTGGACATGAGGATGAAAACTTCTTGCACTGAAAAGAGAATCCTATGCCATAAAACAGAACTAAGGATCACACCTTCAGTGTGATAACACTAAACTTATGAGCCCCTAATGTTCAAATAAGGGTTAAATTAGATGAAGCAAGCTTGCTCTTTATCAATTCTGTCACATACAAATCTAAGAATACAGTGAAAGCTTTCATTAGGAGCATAAAACCATTCATTTTTAATTGAATCACCCAGGAAGGAATCTAATTACTAGAGAAGTAGTGCAGGTTAGCAAGATCTCGGACTCCATAAGGGTCCTACATCCCTAGAATAAATATATCATTTTGCAAGGAAAAAAAAAGAAACAAAACAGCGTGTTAACGATGCTTTAACATTATGAGAGCCAAGAAAGAATTAACAAATGTTACAGTAATGTTAACTCAGCCATACTGTAAGTTTAGCATTGATTCATACACGACTGAGGTCTATGAAGTGTTGGATTGTGTGTGTGTACTGAGCTGCTGGTCCATCCCTGGGACACAACATTGTCCCCTCCAGGTGGCTGTTGCTGTGCTCAGAATCCCTCTTGATTTCTCTTAACTTCTAGGGGGAAGTCTGATGGGCGATTGCCTCTTCAGGCAGTCAAGTTATTTGCTATCACCAGCGCTACTTCATTAAATGGGGTATAGAGCTCTTCTCTAGTCTCCCCCAACCCCTAATTTGTAGCTAAGGACACAAAGGAAAAAAAAACAGTCCCCAATTCATGCCAAAACAAGGACTTTATGCCCCACAGACAGACAACATAAAATAAACCAAATCCCATGCACATGCATACAACAAACAGATATAACTCAAAGCTATCCTGCTTTCAGTATTAAGTAGGCTCAGATACAAACCTAAACACTAGAGCTCTGTGGACGTTAAAAAAAAAAAAAAAAAAAAAATCAAGTAAGTGCAGACTATTACATTTAAAATGCAGAGACATGTCTACATGTTTCATTTAAATTATTAACATATGTACTTACTGGGCATGTCTACATATTCGTTAATGCGCTTTTGTTAATGTACATTAAATTTGGTACCTCTATCGCAAGGTACTAGAAAAAGGCGCCTTAATCTATTTTAATGCTCATTAGCAAAAGCACACCATTTTTGTGATGCTTTAATGCACATGAAAATAGGGTAATGCGCATTAAAGTGCATGTGTAGAAGTGTGTCACCTAAACAGCAGGTCAGGCAAGTGTAAACTTGTTGGTAACAAGTAGATATAGTGTTGAATTCTGCTCTTAGAGCACTGTAAGTCAGGAATAACTCCATACTGCCAGTATAATGGGGCACAGATTTTGGCCCAAACCTTGTAAGAGAGAGGGTAGCTTCCAAAAGAATAGTCATTTTTTTCTAGTAGGCAAGATTTATATTCTCATAGCCTCTCATCTCAGAAGAAAACCACTCTTTTATACTAGAAACCAATAGTAGGTTGTGGTTGTTACTTTTTTCTGTAAGGCTTGAAACAAATATCATCCTTAGAATGGGATCAGCTATACCAGGATGTGTCCTGCACAACTGATTTGCTTCACCGAGCCACACAATCATTGTTTGTTGTCCAACAGGTTCAGGCCCCTGCCACTCCTGGTGCTCCAGGTGCCCAATCCTGTGAGGCAACTGCAAACGGGGGAACTGACTCCGGGCTCACTGGTACGGTACATGCCGGGGAGCCCCTTTGAAAGCAGAGAACCTGGGCAGGTGTTTGCAGGGCTTCAGGGGCCCAATCCTGCATACCCTGAGAAATCTCACAATGACTGGGAAGAGTGAGCATCTACGGGCTGCTCATGCTCTCTCTACATAAAGCCAACAGATGTTCTCTGCAAAACAGTGGCACAACAATTTGTAATATCTATTGCCACTTTGGGGCACAGCTGGCATGACAAGGGACATGAACACCTGTTTGCTTGGGTTTTGTGACCCCCATAAAGTATTTACAGTGGCAAAACAGTTTCTGACCTAAGAGGTTTAAAGGAGGAAGAGGAAGCAGGGGTGCACTCTTCGAGCAGAGGTTAAAAGGGGAGATGCTAGTGTTACCGTCTGCCTTCACTGCACAATATAGGAACAAACTCCATATACTGTTCTCTGCTCCTGTTACAGACTCTGCTTCCAGTAGCCCAAGTGAAAACCTGAAAGCCCAAGTGATCCTGAAATCACCCTTACCGTTTCCTCAGAACTGCTTGAAATGAGCGGTGAAACTAATGGGGACATGCTCAAGTCAAAAGACCAGGTGCTTACTATAGAGAACCAAGCCTGATCTTAATTTCACCATCATAGCTGTCAGAACCTCACTTCAGGATTGGCAATCAGGATCTCTCTGCTCTACCAGACATGGCTGCCCCTCTTCCCTGCCCCCAATGCAACACTCAGCCTGGGGTACCTTGCTTTAATGAGACGACTTTGCAAAGTGCATCCATGACCGCTCAACAGCAGGTGAGCATGCCATTACTCCACGAGTAATGATGTGATGTGGCCTAGTTCACAGAGCACTGGACTGGGACTCAGGAGAACTGGGTTTTTCCAACTCTTTGAGTTGGTCTAATGAAAGATGTAGGATTTACCCAAAGAAACGTGTCTGCCTGGGTTGTATTTATGCCACTAGTTTGGCAGGTTACCTTGGGCCATTCTCTCTCTGCATCTCCCTTCCCCTATACACATATTGAGGATAAATGATGCTGAACTCCTAAGGTATGTTGAGATACATGGATGAACGAGGCTATGCGAAAGCTCGGTGCATCATTCAATCCTGGTTGCAATAAAAACTATTCCGATAACTATTGTGTATCTCATATGTACAATACACACACCACCACCTTCCCACCCACTCCCAGTGTTTAAACATAACGTTAAATTAGCCAAAAGATTAAAATTGTTTTGAGCAAAAGTTGAGCAAACATTGTAAATGTGCAAACGTGAATATTAATTTGGAGCCATAAAAAAAGCTTTGTTAGATGCCCTAAAATATACAATCCTATAACTACACAGGAAGGCTTAATTTGTTAAAGCAAGAAAAAAAAAATCCTGGTGAAAAGGGGAAAGTAGCATTTTACAAACTGATACAATAGCATATATCATAAAATGGCAAAAATCAATAGCCATCAAAATAAAAAGGCAGTTATGCAATGCAGATAATTGATAAGAGCTGATAAAGGTCTCCATGAAACACATAGACCAAGAGGGTTAAGGGTAATAAAAGAGAAAGTATTTCACAAACACACAATATCCTAACAACGGTACAGATTTAAACATTGGATTAGAAGGGATAGTAAAACTGGCAATTACAGTGGAAGACAGGAAATATTTCTGCCACATAGCCTGAAAGCAGCCAAATAATGCAATCATATCTTAAAGTGATAAGGAAACTCCTTCTATTCCACCAGAACTAGGGGGGAGGGGGGTGGTGAGGATGTTAAGACAGCCATAATTACACGTTTTAACTTAGTGGAGTTTGATAATCTGCACACAAGTGCATTTAAATAATTGGCCAAGGACATGTCTGAATCACTAATGTAGATTTTAAACATATCTTGGAGCACTGGGGAAGCTCCAGAGAACAGGAGAAAAGCTCAAACTGGGGCAACATTTTAAAATGGTAGGCAGAGCAAGTTATTCCATGTAGGTCAGCAACCCTGGATCTGATCTCATGCACACTCAATAAAGACTTGCAGATAGTAGCATAATTAATACTACTCAACAAGGCTTTGTGGAGAACAGATCTCAGGGGGAAAAAATCCAGCAAATTATGCTTTAGATATTTTTATTAATCAAATATATTTAGAATCCTATAATGTACTTTACTTCATCCTATATGAAATCTGGATAGCATTGGCCATATATGAAAATCAATATAGTTTCCACATGTATTTCCAGGAGAAAGAGACATAAGAGCCAGTGGTTGTAAGATATAGTTAACTACATTCACACTAGACCCAAGTCACTGAGTTTTAAGGGTGAGGTAATTAAACACTGGAACATCTTACCAAGAGACACATGGATTCACCTGCACTTTGGAGTCTTTAAATTGAGACTGAACATATTTCCAAAAGATATGCCATGGCTCAAGCATAAATTATGGATCTGATGCAGAAATTATCTGTGAGGTGCAGTTTAACATTATACATAAAG